ATATATATAATTATATATATAATATATATGGAAGGGAGTACCACCTCTGGCTGGAAGAGGCACCCTTAGCTTCGAAGGAAACCACACAACGCATTAGAGGGAATGTTTAGGTCCCCTCCAATACAGTTTTTGTGTGCCTTTCTCCTACCACCCCCTTTCTTTGATATTTTTTTGCTTTATTATGTTTATATATGTTTATAATATATATATATATATATATATATATATATATATAATTATAAATATTATATATACACACATATATATATAATTATCTATTGATTTAATTATGTATAGGCCTGCATGTGAAGACATTATACAAGTGCATATGTGGCAGACAGACAAGGATCCTTCAAATGTACTTTCTTTGAGGCTAAGCGTCCTCACCAATACTACCAGAGATGGCAACCTTCCAATACATTTGAATTATGTATAAATACACATGCACATGATATAATGCATCAAATAGCATAGTGAAGTATTTTCATACATCTCTATCCTTTAGGTATCCACACATTTACTTGAAATTTATAATGTGCAATTTCGAGACAACACCCTCCCCTCCCCTCCTCCAGATCTGTTCTAAACAAAAAACAAATAATTCTAGAGTACCCCCCCCCCCCATCATCAAACGAGAATATTTCCGCTCCAGCACAAAAGACCAAAGCTATTAAATAATGATATATACTTTTTGCCAATATTGAGGCAGCCAGAATATACAGTAGGTTAACAAATCATTATTAGGAAAATTCTTACCGTTAACTAGCCTTTAGCTGCTGGAGGTTTAGCATTATGTCCAGGACAATACCTCCTGTTATTACTTGGGAAGTCACTAGTGAGAAATGAACGAGCACGTAAATTTGCCTTTTTCAAGGCAATATCTAATGACAATATGACAAACATTTAAACTTGAGGGGCTAGCTTGAAAGCTTCAGAACACACTTAACCAAGAATAATGGGAGCTACAAAACTACTAAAAGAGCTCACCTAAATTTTGTATCCTTTAAGAGAATGCAAATAATTAAAGTATTGAAGCTATGTACATGAAACAATTATGCTTTTCCATTTTGAAGGTCAATATGTACATATCAAAATAAAAATTATATTGCTTTATTAAAGAGAAACAGTGATAATTTAAAGCTCAAGCAACCTTATTACACAGCTGTATTCAGCATGAGTAAACCTTCATACAAAAAAATAAATGCCGTTCAGAATATTAAATAACCAGATTGCTATTTTAAAGATCACTTTTATACAGGTCGGTCTACAGCAAATGTGACCACATTGCCAAAAAAAAAAATACTTTAAACATTCCATAAGCAAGTGCATATTTTATGTTCAGCTGTAACATGGCATAAATGATACTAGTCCTTGCAAGTTCACAAACCCTTTAAAAAAAAAACAATTACTTTACAGTCTAGATTAAACACATGAGCAAGTAATATGATCAAAGGTCTTGAGGAAACATTATCTTTTATACAATTATACATTGAGTATATTAATTTCATTACCTTAGCAAATACCCCACCAATATTACTTCACTTACAGAATGTAAAAACTAATATTTAAATATACAATTCAAAACCTACTTTCCCTACCAGACACTGAAAATATTTGTAACCAGTGAAAGTAAGCCTGTAAAAAAGTGCATCTAGTATAATATCCCTTCATGGTCTAACAACACTACCCAACCATGCCTTACTCTCCAATCATTTCATTCAACTTCATTATGGATAATGCACACATTTAATATGAACGTTTTGCATAATCAACATTGATATATACATCATAACATGCAGATGAATTTAAACAAGTAACTTGTTGAAGTGGTCGACAGTTCATCAAGAGGCCAATCAATTTTTGTTTGTAATGTAAGCAAAATGCATGCCAGGTCTTGGGTATGGTACTAAGACAATGAATCTGTTTATTCACTTTCCTATTGATGCTACTAGGATTGGAGGTTCAGCGCTAGATGGAGGTTGCACACCCAGTGCGAAATTCCTCGATCTGTTCTGCAAGTTACCAAATGATATTTTATCGAGTAGATTAGCAGCAAATATTTATTTGCTAACTAGAGCCATTCCTTTTATTTTAATATGAAAAACATGTAAACTGCAAAAGCTACAATTTATTGTAAATACATTTTTTAAGGAAAAATTTCATGTATAAATACACTTGCTCAGAATAACCTATATTCTTTTAAACTGATATTATTCTTAGAATAAACAAGTAGGCATCTGATCAAGTTTTCCAAAAACAAATATTGTAAAATTTCCTTTTTCTGTAATGCCAGGGACATAACTTTAATAAACACTGAAACCATGACCATTTTAAAGAATATGAATTATTGCAAACAAAGGCAGGAACATTTCACTTAAAATCCCTAGCACTTGCATTAGTACTGATGCATACTACAAATCAAGTACTGTATCACAATTTTGTGTGCCCACACACACAGGTTCAATACCTTTTCATTATTATTAATTTGTGATTATGAACAGCAAGATGAATCCCCAAGTTTTGTTAAGCAAGCTTTCTACTGCAATCTATTACTACCAATCCAATTATTATTTAAATTTTTCAAATATTTAATCCTGGGGATATGTGAATGAAAGAGCATCTTAACATTGGAATGGTTATAAATTTTTATTCTAGTGTTCAGCATATTAATTATGCACAATGAAGTACAAAAACAAGTTAGATAAAAGCTTTTCTCCAACCCAAGTAACGGGCCCACATTATATGATAAGAGTAAAAAAGGAAAAGGCTCTCCTGCACTGAAGCTTGGATTGTTTATACAATCAAACGCCATTTAAACACACCATTTATTCCTCATTTGGTCACATGAATAAATCAACCACAAGGGTATTCAGTAATTAAGCAAACACACGCTGGGATGTTGCCCTTCCACAAAAAAGGGGGTAATCAAACTTCTAAAATCAAATGTCCACATGGACCTCCCGTGTACCAGTTAACGTGACGGAATAGGTCTTCGTCCCCTTATTCCTAGAGCAATTTTGATGCTCAAATAAGAGGGCCACAATCGGTGAAGGTGATGTTTTGAATGAGGCTGAGATGGGTACATACATCTACTCTATCTTGCTTCATGAATAACCCAATCTCCAACTGGGCTTGGCATACTCCCATTGTAATCACAGATGTCAACCATTAACCGTCTTGCAGTTGTCCAATATGAAAAAAATATACTTTAACGAGATAATGGTTGGTTGTGTAGGTGGTGGTAGTTGTAGCAGAAGTACTAGTAGTTGTTGTAGCAGAAGTAGTAGTAGTAGTAAGTGGTGGTGGCAGTAGCAGCAAGTGATTTACTTCATGTTGGGCTTTGTGGCTACCACCATTTCCTGGCCCATAGCAGAAAGAACTGTCAGCTGAAAACAAAACAGATAAAACTGAATATTTGTCCAAATATTAAATCAATGTTTGCAAAAAATAATGAAAGTTACACCAAAATCTCAAGACTACCTGCTCATGTATGAATGTCCAGAAACATTAAGTGCAACACAGAAGATGAATTTACCAAATGGCAAAAGTAAATGTAATATAGTATTAATAACTTTATAAAATAAAAATTTATAAAAGTACTGCAATACAACAGATTTTCATAGCTTTCCTAGAATGTAGATAAAATACAAGGTTATTCAAAACAAAAAACTCCATTTCTTAAATTAGATAAGCAAACACACTATAATCTTAATAATTAATAATAAGGCAATATGAAACCTTCCAGAACCCTGGATGAATACCCTTATGTTAAAAGGATTTTTTTTTCCAATAATGAAACCAACAGGCTAACTTTGCAATAGCAACCATAATTAATAGTAAACATGTCAATAAATAATTATAATTATTATTGCGTGGAGACTTTTCAAAATACGAAACGGTGAAAAATTTTAAATAAATCCCGTTATGTGGCATCGGCGTCATAAAAATTTCATCCATATATGTTAAGAATGGATTTTATACGAATTAAAAAAAAATAAGTGCGCGCTTGACAGGAAGCAACCGGTACTGACAATGATAACGCCTCCAATTTACTGGCAATCTGGGATAGAGAGATGCAAGCACCTGTCGTGACTAGTAGTAGTTAGGAGGGTCTTCAAAATGGCTATGCCGCTGGTGTCACCTGGATATTTCGCACATAATTATGAGTTAGTATATTATGATGTATTCTATTGCATATCATAAAAATACATTGCCCAATGGCAATATTTCTTATGTCTCTTTGTACAAAAAGGTGACAACCCCCCTTTTGTGCGCCTTTTCTCTTTTTTCTTCTTTGATTTTATGCAGATTTTGTTGCAACTCCTACATCTTATATGTGGCACTAAGCATGTTAAGTTGAAACGAAAGTAGTTAGCATGTCAATCAGCCACAGGTGGAAGAAGTTGACATCTTTTTTGGGGATGGGGTCTCAATTTATTTACTGTTCGAACTCTATACTCTATATTTAGCTAATATTGATGAATGAGGACCAGATAAGGGTCTTATCACTTATATATGGGCAATAAAGTTACTGCAATGTATGTTTCATTATAAGAATGCAAGAACATAAGAATGAAGGTAACTGCAGAAGGCCTATTGGCCCATACAAGGCAGCTCCTCTTTATATCCACCCAATCTCATTCAAATATGTCTAACCTACTGTTAAACAGTTAACAGATAAGGGGCCCCAGTGTCTGTTTTACAGTTATCCCTAACGTATCCTAATATTTAGTTTTTTTGGGAGGGTTATTTTTTCTTTACTTCATTTCAACACATTGACTTATCACTTAAAACATTTTCCACTACGAATTAGTAGAAGCCACGAGAATAATTCAAACCTATGCTCTGCATGTATCCAGGCTGTATTGCTTTTGACCAAGTCGTAGTGTAGTGGTGGTGGTCTAAGGCATTTGCTTGGGAGTGCCCAGGGAATTGATTCAAATTCTTATGGCACCTACTTATTTCATCATTATTACTATTATTATTAAAATTTCCCTACCAGGACAATTGTTGTCCAATGCACCTGCAGGCCAGCATCTGGGCCCGATTCACCCAACAAGTCCACAGTGGCAAATGATCCATCTGTATATTTACACATTGTGGAGAATGATTATCCATCAGGATATTTCCATTCTGGTGAATCCTTCCTCAAATCCTTTAACTACATTTTATGGTGATACTTTTCTTAAATTTGGGGATTTAAATCTTCTCCATCTATTCATCCCATCCTGCAGCCTAACTAGGTCTTCCTGAAGTCTTGTGCAGTCCTCTTCAGTCTCCACCATTCTCTAATTCTCTACAGTTGAGCATTAATCTGCTAGCATAATGAGGAAATGGGGACAATGTGAACACATTGGACAAAAAGAATGAGGCTCAGTTTGCAGCAATTTGCAAAGGGGAAAGCGATTATTTCTGTGTACTCTGACTACTGTACTAATGAACATGGTCTTCTGAAGCATGGTGCCAAATGGACGAGTACTTTTTTTAACATTAAACTTTTAATGTTAACCTTTTTCTATCAAACTGATACTTCCTTACCACATAACAGTGGGGAAACAGGGCAATAATGAAATAACATTATGCTACCATAATTATCCTTTATTCCAGTTCCAAAAAGAATAATAGCATCCTCGTATTTGCACCCTTTATACAGAATGTCTTATTCATGCCTGAGATTATCCACCAAGATGGTTTCACCTCCTTTTTAGTGCCTTTAGATGCACTACTTATTTACCAACTAAAGCATCAGTAGCCTAAAGAAAAATATGTCCCCCTCTCCTGCTTCCCACCTTCCAACTAGTTTTTTTTTTTTTGCCTCAACCAAGTAATCCTTTTGCGCACACAAACCCTGTGCTCGCTTTCTCTCAACTCTTATCTTGGGCCATGGAGAAAATTAGTTAAAAAACAGAGCTTGGGGAAAAAAATTTATCTCCATGCTGTCTGTAACTAACTGTTCATTTTTCATTAATTAAATGAACTAAAATGATATACCTTGAATAGTGTTGACTTTTACACAATGCTCAATTCCACATTAAGTGCAGTGTATGCGAGGTGAAATAGTTGAAAGAACAATCGTCCAACTTTGGAATTCACAGTATTACTCTGGCACTCTTTTTTGGCTTTCTAACTTATAATAAAGCAAGAAAGAGGTTTAAGAGTGCCATCAATAGTATGCACAGGACCTAAAAAAAATTCCAGTAAAACCCATTTGCAATTTAAACACTACTTTGCACCGACTGAATTTGCTGCAGAATGGATTAAACAACCAATAAAAATTGTAACTTAAAAGATTTATTTAAATTTATTTAAAGACCACAAAGATGTACTGTATTTGAAAAAGAAATATATAAGATCTATTAAAAACGACAAATGTGTGGGAAGGAAAAATGATAAATTTAATGGTAGGATTGAATGAGCAATAAAGATGCTTAATTTTAAGCTAAACAAAATTGTACATTAAAACCTATCCAAATACAGTATCAACAAATTTTATATTGACTACCATTTTGATAGCCCGAAAAATAATATAGGCTTAATAAATAATCCTGATTAGTCATATATAATAATGCAATGGTATATTAGAATGGCAATGATGTATTAGAAAGTATATAATAGTAGGTAAATTACTATTTGCTCGGTATAAACACACATTTATCTGAACCTCCTTAAAGAATCTACTACTGTACCTAATTTAATTAACAATGCCTTGAAAAAAATATAAAAGTAAAACTTACCAGAAGGTCTTCACCATTTTCAAACTTTGTTTTTATCTCTACACCAACTTCACCTTCAGGAATTTTAATATCATCACGTAAGTCACCAGATTCCATCATTAGAGACAAAAAGCCATCATCAGATATGTCAATCAACTGTTGGAAAAAAAATACAAATGTTAAAATATTTCTGTATAGTATTACAGTACCATACATAAAATGTTCAACAATGGAGATTATTGACAGAACAATTTAAAAAAGAATGAGTGGAAAAGCCATTATACTCCCAAAATCTAAAATTTCATGCTTACAAACCTGGTAGTCGGCACGCTTCACCACAGGCACATCCATGTTGTGGGTCGAGGGACAAATATCTTCATATTTCTTACCAGTGAAAAGGTCGATACCAACAAGATGAACTTTTGCATGTCCGTGTTTGCCTGTTTTTGAGGTTGACATTTCCACAATTTTACAAGCACGGCCCTGTTTAAAATGAAATAATAAAGAAATGATAAAATACATTACACCAAACTAAAAATGTCAAACCTTCTCTTCACACATTTTCCAGATAATATTGTACTAGTACTGATTGGGGGTAGAAGTCATAGTATGATAATGGCATAATAGCAAAACAATGCCCGTTATTAGCTACATTTTGAACTCGATTTGAAAGAAATCTGTCAATTCTCAGTATTTATTGTCAATGAAAATACTGGTACTGGTATTGGAGTCATCACCTGCACTTCTCTTAACACTTTCGCGCTATCTGGACGCGCCGGCGCGTCCCGTTTCGTCTAACGCTAACGCATAGTGGACATAAAGTTGAGTCCTCTTTTAAAATATTTGTATAAAATTCAATTTTTATCCGATTTACTTTGGGTTTGTTTCAAACTGCGCGCTATGAGGCTCTCTTTCTCACCACTAGGCTGCATGGTACAATAAGTTCATGAAAGGTGTGGATAACTTCGATCAAATGGTATTTTGTCCCAAACGGGTTGCAGGTGGGTGACTTTAGCCGTTTATACTGGTAATGCTTCCCCCATATCATGTATTATATGCATATGTCTGTTTAGGGAATTTTATTCCGATCAATATACAACCAAAAATAACTGTGTGCAACAAGTATAAACTTGACAAACATAACAAAAGTAAAAACATTTCGTGTGTGTTTGACGCTCACTGATATGTTCCAGCGTTGTTTTATATTTGGCGCTATTCTAACTTACGCTTTGTTGATATTTTTTACCTATGGGCACATAGAACATTCTATTGCGAACACATTGACACAAAAATGAATGACGTACATAGAAAATTAATGTCATGAGAGTGAAATAAGTATAAACTTTCAAAGCGCCGTGCGTCGTCCCGTCACCGATACCGGGTAACAATTTCACCACTTCCCACACTCTTGCGGGCGGGCCGCATCATTATTCTACGCTTATATTCATATCACCGTGTTGGGAATTTCATTGCGAGTCCATTGATACCAAAATTAACGCTGTAGAATAAGTGTGGAGGTGATTACAATCCCAAGAGTAAAAACATTTTGTTGCTGATGGGCGCTCACGGCGAGTCATCTTCGTAGTTATTTATTTGGTGCTGGTATCCCTATACGTTTCGTGACTTTTTTTACTGATGTTCTTCTAGAGAATTTTATTGCGAACACGTTGGTACCAAAATGAAATACGTAGCATGAGAACTAAGGTCAGAAGAGTAAAAAGAGTATACACATTTTTGTTTTTACGCTTAAGCGATAAAAACGCTGCGCGCACATTCGGTTGGCTGAGTGACCTTTGCGGAAAGCGCGAAAGTGTTAATTTACTGAATACTAATCACTAGAATATATATTCAAAATAAAATTAAGAGAAAACTTACTGCATTTTTGTCAGGAAAATAAATATTCATTAATAATGTTCTTTAATCCTAAAATCTGTTTTCATCAGATTGATAAAATTTTCACACAAAGCACATCATGAAAATGACTTTTCTAAATACCAAAACAATTTTATTTACCTTAATCTTTTAATGTACACTATTATAAATAAAATTGAAACCATTATTTTATAGAAAGTGCTTGCAATATAATTCTTTACCTCAAAAGATCATCCAATACTTGCATTTTGCATGCAGTCAATTATCTCTAGGATGGTCATGCAGTAGCAGTCATTGCCTAAAAGGCAAAGCTCTAACATGTATATTTGTGTACTAATGCTCATGAAGTAAACTAAGGCACAAAAGAATTTTTTAATATAGCAGACAATTGCCTACGTCATCTAGGAATGATATACATGACCAAACACCCACCATAACTTCAAACTTGAAGGGAAGGGACCTATCAAGGGAAAGTGCAAAGCCATTACAATTATATAGCACTTGGAAGGGACAAGGATTTGAGATGGGATGGGGAAAGGAATGGTGCCCAACAACTTGGTCGGGGAGATAAGGCTGACCTACATGAAGAAAGACCGTCAATCTACCATCCATCATTGAGCAGCAGCTTTAATGCATCTCAAAGGTGGAAGAACAATATACATTGGGTAACTTCTCTCTCAGAAATAAGAGCTCCAGATGCAAGAGATTTTCTAGTAGTAGCCTTAATGACAGCAACAGGCATGCACCTAAAGCCCCAAACATTCAATATTCCAGTCCTATTCTACACTGAATGTAAGTGTAATAGCAGCAATAAAGAGGACTAGATATGGCTGCTCTGATGAAACAACCTTGCTTCCTAATGTCTTGATTCTATCAATTCTGGTAACCACCCAGATGGGGTTACAGTACATCTCTGGAAAACTGGAGGCAGCTGCTGTGGGACTACAAATGTCTCAACCTGGGGCTCTATAAATGCTGCATTATTTAACTTTGGGGCTTTGTTTACATTCTTGGTTCTACACGAGTGTCACTGGAAGTCTTTATTACTAGAGAATGGAATAAACTGTCATCCTGTGGTCATAAGAGAAATTTAATGCCAAATGCTAACTAAAACACACAAACAAGTCCTCCAAGAGGACTTGTACAAGTTGCACAGATGGTTGGAGAAATAGCTACTAGAGTTTAATATGAGCAAGTGTAAAGTGATGTAATGTGAACAGGTGACGAGACAGTACACAATGAATGGAAATTACCTACCTGTAATAACTACAAAAGAACCTGGTGTGGACAACACCAAACCTAATTTTGGAGACACACGAATAGGATATCGGCACCATACTCTACACTAGCAAACGTTAGATCATTATTCAGGAACCTAAACAGAGGTATTTAGATTGCTGTACACTGCCATGTAAGACCAGTCTTAGTGAAAACCAAGCTCATCTCAGGATTGTGAGGGATGAGATACAAGAGACTAAAGGAACTAAACCTGATGATTCTAGAAAAGAGAGGGAAGACATAAGACATAAAAGACTGGCTTCTTGGACCGAGAACCCCATGGATACACAGACAGGGACTTAAAAGAGGGATTGACAGTGGAAAGAGGAAATGGTCAGAATTAATAATACCAATAGAACAAGGGGGCATGGGGTGAAAGCTTAAGTGTCTCAAGTTAGATACTAGAATTTTTTTTTAGCATAACAGTAGTGGGAATAAGAAATGAACTAAAGGAGTAGGTTATAGGAGCAAACTTCATTAATAATTATAATAGTAGTATGATAGGGAAATAGGCCAGGAGTCATTGCTTTTTGTTATATCAAACGGTAGAACATTTAATTTACCTTGATCACTACATGTCCATTTTTGCGGAGAGAGGAGCACTGGGCAGGGTACACTTGGGAAGCACCCGAATCACCACCCTCAAAATCTGCTTGCAGCTCCTCTGACATGTTGGTGGTGACCAGGTCTAAAAAATAAAAATAAAATTATACAATTTGTAAACTTTTATAGTTAAATTCCAATTACACTATTCTTTGTGATAGATATATTGCTGAAAACCTGTGATGAGCAATCCACCTTACACAGTACAATATGGGAAAAATAGGGGTATAGAATCCTCTAAAAGAACACCTACCTAAATATTAGTTTCAAACTTCAACCATATTTAAGCAACACTTACATGCCAATATGTAATGAAGTGTAGAACACTTGACATGTGCCTATTACAGTGTTAACAATGATTGTTACGAGTTGCAAGGCAAGTCAAGAGGAATGTTACAGTATGGGGGAGAAAAAGGTGGGTGTCAAAGGGGGGCCAGGGACAGCATCAAAGGGCACAGGGGTGTCCAGGGCATGAGGGCAGCAGGGGCGCGGGGGCACAAAGTTGCCTTCCCCATAATTATGGTAGACTTCTTTACATTTCTCTTTTCCCATTTTCATATTACATTAAAAATGGGCAGTGTTAGTGGTCTTGCAAAATTAAGTATTTACTTTCAGATTTTAGTCATTTACAAACAATGGCATATACAGCTTTTGTCTTCTATTAGGTCATTTATATTAAGAATGTCGATGGTCTTAGGATAGAGCCATGTGGAAACATCTGCTTCTATCTAGTCCAAACTTCTGAGTGACCCTTTGTTTCCAGTCTGCCAGGTACTCTTAACCAATTCAGATTCTTCTTTATTCTCTGCGTGTTTCTCCATCTTCTGTACTAACTGCTTGCGAAGAACAATTTTTATATTTTGTTAATTGTGCAATCATTCCAGCCTCCTTTATTACTTATCACCAGTGTTGTCACTTACGAAATTTATTTCTCTTCGAGTGATTAATTTTTTCAGATTATATTTCCGAATTTTGCAAAGGATGCATATCCTTTGCATCCTTAGAACTTATCAATAGTTTATTATTAGAACTTATCAATAGTTTATTACTTCATGTCAATCTCCTCTCTAGCAATACCCAAATTACGTTTGCCCTTTTCCAGAATTCAAAGTCTGCCAGTTTACTACCAAACTGAAAGCTCTAGTTAGTGGATAATAACCACCACCAATAACCAGTGCTAGTTCTTCTAGGCATTTTTTTAATACAGTAACATATTTGCCGACATAAAAGACGCACTCTCACGCGCCCCTATTTTAAAGGGATATTTTGTGGAAAAATTATTTAGTATGTTTCATCATTCATTTATTTAAAGATATTTTAAAGTGGTTTTTGTACAGCAACTCTTACCTGCCCTAAGACCAGCCATTTAGTTTATATTTTGGGCAAAAGAATTGCTATACAGTTTGTGAAACTTGTATTTCTGGAAGTGATGCGTGTTACCACAACAGGCCACCAGGGCGGTGAACTGGTGGGGGCACACCATCGCAGCGCGATGGTTTTGTCATCATTCACTCATTGCAAATGTAACAGATGGACGAAAGTTTAACATTTCTTTCAAATTTCTAGGAGCCATTTTCATTTAGATAATGAATAAGTGTTTCTTATTGAAGGTAATAGCGTCATCAAATAATGTATGACATCGGGTGTGGGTTACGCATGCTGGGCGAGGGTGAAATGATCTGAGCTTCCCTCATAACTGCCGACGTATCGTAAGCAATTTCTTGTAAGTTTGTGATAACAGACTGATAACTGCTTGTTTTGAATATTTTATTATTAGCAACAATTTTTGTGCCTAGCAAACTTATCCAGTATGAACGCCCCGCTCCCTAGCCTACGGCTCATAGATCCCATCTGTAATAGAGCCGCATTAGACGCAGGGAAATTTTTTGATGCGTTTAAAAATAAAAAGTGCATCTTATATGCCCGCAAATACTGTACAGGACTTTTCAGATAATTTTAAAATCTCTCAGAGTTGCTTCTGGCCTTCTTTCCTTCTTGAACACCAATCTGGTTCCATTTTAAACATGACCTGGAACCTTGTGAAGCAAGATGGTGTGGTTATGTGGTAATGGTGGTAGCAATAACTGGTGCTAAAATCTGCCACCTTGGGCTACATGTGCCCTGTAAAAATAGCCATCTTCCTTTGAGAGGAAAAGTGCCTTGCAGTATATAAAAGTTCCCTCCAGAAAAATACAGTACTTGGTATCTCTTGTGAAGAAACGTATATATACTTTAAAATCAAATTCACCTTCGTACAGTGTAAACTTTTGATTGAGTATATTCCTATATAACTAATAAAATAGAATTTCCAATGCTCACTCGCTCGTCTAAAAAAAAAAATCCATGTAAAAATTTTTGAACAAGAGAACAAATTATTAAATTTCCAAACTAAATATCAGATCTGCAGTTGAAGGCATAGAATATCAAACACTACAATAACCAATTACTTTATATATTTTAGAAAAAAATACAATCAATACTATAAATTCTTATTTTTGTATTTTTGCATGTACACAGGCATATTAAATTCCTAATTGAAAAAGAATGGTTTTCCATATCATTACTAAAAAGTCCTTTGTATAAAATTTAGTGGAGGGAAAAGGAAAATTAGCATTGTAGTTGTAGTATACGATATACAGTATACTGTATATCTTTATGGCCAGGTACAGAGCTGCAATTGCCAAATAGACATGTATCTGAGTAGAGGCATTTTAAATACTGTAGTTAAGGGATATTATCAAAAGTGTCACAATGAAGACATTCTTCAATTTCAGTCTACTAAAGTTGAATGTTACTTAACCCTCGGGCAGTGATTATCGTCTATTGATGATCCTAGGGGGACGATCGTCAAAAGAATTTAAACAATTATAGTGTGGGTTTTACATGCATGATGCAAATATAAATATAATAGGTCTATGTTGGTGTAATGGAGTTTACCTTGACCCATGGAAAAAATCCTACCATCATTTCATGGTAGAAATGCAGTTATGAATATTACTAGGGAATGCCGTCATTGTCACGTGATGATTTATGCAATTATTGTCTGGATTTTACACGTATGATGCAATATTGATATATTAGTTCATGATGTAAATAAAAAGCGAGTGATAAAATCAGTGAAACATCAGAGGATAAAACAGGACGCGTAAGCAAAGTCGAGCACGAGGCGTCAATGCCAGACGCAGCCTTGCAGAGCGCCTTCACCCAGTGAAACTATATATATTCACTTTTTTTCTTACATTTTCCTATATAAATGAATAATTAAAAAAAAAAAAAAAATTTGTGCATAGCAGTGGGTATGACCATTTCTCCAAAGCTGCTGTCTAAGGATTAAACGAATGTTCTCAGCCAAAATGAACTCGCCAATTACAATACTGTACTGTATAGTACCCGAAGTCAAAATTTAACACAGCACTGTACCAGTATTTCTAAATACCACAAATACTTCAAACATTGATAAATTTTAAATATCTTGTTGCTTAAATATGGCGTCATATTGTAACATTTTAATTAAAATCACTACAATCATAATGGAAATGTTTATCTGCATGTAAATTTTAAGTAAAGCTTGGGGATCAATGTTTAACAATATAAGAAAAAAATTATATAAATACCAAATTGGACATCCCAAGACTGGCAAGTCTCACCAATTCTGGTGAGATCACATAATGCTTCGATGGAATTCCTATGAAGTACAGATGCCACTGTGCACAAATAATTCTCTTTCAACATTCATCCTCCTACATGACTCGCCCAAAAAACAGCAGCTATATTATTCCGGATACCTTTTACGTGTTTAACTGCAATCTAATTCACGCCTGAACAAATCCACAAGGGCCGTGACGAGGATTCGAACCTGCGTCCGAGAGCATCCCAGACGCTGCCTTATCGACTAAGCTACGACATGGTCAAAAAGAGTTGAAACTGAAGTTCTACTGAACTTGCTGGATCCTGCAGCCTCTCCAAGACACATCATTTTATGCATTACGCTATTGTGATTTCTGTGTGTAATTCATGCCTGTTATTAATTCTCTTCACTTAACTATTCATTTATGATTTTCTTTACCTATCCATGTTGATATACAACAATATATTGTAGTACATTTTGTTGCAATTACTGTACTTGCTTAACAAACTGCTCAAGTATTACTTTTAAGCTAATAAGGAGGTAACTGTAACCTTGGAAGTTAATTAAAATGGTCATTAATAAAGCCACAAGCTGCAAAAGCATCACCTATTATTATTTAACTGACATAACTAACCTAGTCTTCCTAAAATAGAAAAACATGATCCATAAGACGAGTTATTTAAATTTGATGGTCTGTGCTGTATACCATACTCGTTCACTATTTAAGAGACCTAGTGAAGTAAAACAGCAAAAACCATTACACTTTTCTATAAATCAAATGCATTTTCTCACCATAAACTCCATAATAAAGTTAATCTATACTGTAACCCCGCGATTATCCGGGATTCGAACATCCGAAAAACGCCCTTATACGGCCAAAATCGTGAACGGATAAAGTTATCACAATATCCGGCCAAAATAGCCACAGGGACCGGATTAAAGCAGGTTTTCTGCAGAAATTACACTATCCGGTCAGTCCCCCTGATAATCGTGCCTTTGTCCGTATATGAAAACATGAGGCGGGCCATACGGTATTAATCCTGTCTGCCCGAGACTCGAGGCGCATGGTGTAGGTGGGGGTAGGGTGGGTGGGTGGTGTTGGGAGGGTGGGAGGGGTGCGTCAGGAGGGACCACCTGGGTACAGGAATTACCATTAATTTTAGAACAATTAATCATAGCCAAAAACAAATAAAATAACTACTAGTAATTATGTAATAAATAAATAAGTTTCCTAAAAGCATTGTGCACAGGCTGAAGTTTCCTTCAAAAATATTGAATTTTTTTCCTCCTGGCGGCCTACGTAACGCTATGGCTGCCCCAAGTGGACCTGTCCAACACTGGTCAACCCATGTGCGTCCGTCCCTCGTGTTATACACAGTGCTGCGCCATTAGTGAAATATTTTTTTAAATAACTTTTTTATTTTCATAGTAACTTTGAACATTTTTGGCCAAGACTATGTCTGGTAGCAGCATCAATCGTTCTGGAGGTGTTAAGAGGAAGAAAGTTGTCCTAACATAAGAACATAAGAACAAAGGTAACTGCAGAAGGCCTATTGGCCCATACGAGGCAGCTCCTATTCTATAACCACCCAATCCCACTCATATACTTGTCCAACCCGCGCTTGAAACAATCGAGGGACCCCACCACCACGTTACGCGGCAATTGGTTCCACAAATCTACAACCCTGTTACTGAACCAGTATTTACCCAAGTCTTTCCTAAATCTAAACTTATCCAATTTATACCCATTGTTTCGTGTTCTGTCCTGTGTTGATACTTTTAATACCCTATTAATATCCCCCTTGTTATGTCCATTCACCCACTTGTAAACCTCTATCATGTCGCCCCTAACTCTTCGCCTTTCCAGTGAATGCAACTTAAGCTTTGTTAATCTTTCTTCATATGAAAGATTTCTAATTTGGGGAATTAACTTAGTCATCCTACGCTGGACACGTTCAAGTGAATTTATATCCATTCTATAATATGGCGACCAAAACTGAACTGCATAATCTAAATGGGGCCTAACTAGAGCAAGATATAGCTTGAGAACCACACCAGGTGTCTTGTTACTAACGCTGCGATTAATAAATCCAAGTGTCCGATTTGCCTTATTACGAACATTTATGCATTGATCCTTTTGTTTTAAATTCTTACTAATCATAACTCCCAGATCCCTTTCGCAATCCGACTTCGCAATCTCAACACCATCTAGCTCGTATCTTGTAACTATCATCATTACCTAACCTCAGAACTTTACATTTATCAGCATTAAACTGCATCTGCCAATCCTTTGACCATAACAATAAAAGACAAGTCACAGATATACACCTCAACCAGTGCGGCCTCACAGTGTTGCGCCATTAGTGAAATATTTTTTTAAATAACTTTCTTAATTTTCATAGTAATTTTGAACATTTTTGGCCAAGAATATGTCTGGTAGCAGCATCAATCGTTCTGGAAGTGTTAAGAGGAAGAAGATTGTCCTAGCAATTAAAGACAAGTTACGTGTTGTTCAAACAGTGAGGCGTCACAGGCAGCCAAGCGCCTTCAACAAGTGAGGCGCCACAGGCAAGCCAAGCTCCTTCAACAAGTGAGGCATTATAGGCAAACCAAGCGCTTTCAACAAGTGACGCGCCACAGGCAAGCCAAGCGCTTTCAACAAGTGAGGCGCAAGCAAGCGCCTTTAACAAGTGAGGCGTCACAGGCAAGCCAAGCGCCTTCAACAAGTGAGGGCATGCAAGCGCTTCAACAAGTGAGGTGCAAGCAAGCACCTTCAACAAGTGAGGCCTCACAGGCAACCCAAATGCCCTCAACCAGTGAGGCTTCAGCAGCTGGCAGTCAAAACTAACTTAGCTTAATGAACTGTACAGTAATTTTAAGTGTTAATTTTAGTGTTGTGTTAGTATAGGTTACGTAAATTGTTAAGAATTTTTAACTTCAAGATGTGTGGCATCAATCAAGAAGACGAACACCAACAAGGTAAGTTGAGGTTTCTAGTTGAATATTTAATAATTGTATGTGGCAAGGCAATTCAAATTATGTTGTTTGTAGTATAAAAATAGTTGGAAATGGTCACTTTTGGACTCGTAGGTGAAAAAGTACCATTATCCGAAAAATGTGATAATCCGGCTGGGGGTCCTTCCCATATAGTCCGGATGATCGAGTGGAGACAGTATATTATTGTGTGGTACATTTTAAACAGAACAAAGTTAATGTTATCCATTACAATATCTTGTACGGCACAAGTACCCAACCCTTCAACCTATTTTTTCATACAAATAACATCCTACTTCTCTATTTCACCTCCATACATTTACTGTACAAAATATTTCTTGACATTAAGCAAAGGAACAAATGGAGGTGTATGTAAATTAAGAAACTTAAGGCAGATCAAATTTACATTTCCTAACAAATTTTTAGTTACATTTTCTCCAGGCTAATATCAGATTTCCAATAATTGTACGAAAATAACTTAATTTTCCAAATACTAGTATGATAATTCATTTTAATGTTGGTTTGATATTACCTTCACAGTTCACTTAATTTTATGGATTAAAATCATAAATATCACGAAGGTACATGCTGTTTGAATGACACCCTCTTGACACTGCAAGGTCAAGCTACAGGGTATTAAATATATTTAATATTAAAACATACTGTACCAAGCATAAATATTACACATCTGTATACTGTACCAAGCATAAATATTATTATACACATATCTGTATACCATACTGGGCAGTATTTTAATAGAGCATTTTGTTTTTTAATGTTTCATCAAACATGGAAGGGGACTGATCAAGGACAGGGCTGCCCCCACCGCCAGTAGATTCCAATCAACCAACCCCAGAATATTACGACCAACCAACCCACAGGACAGCCCCACCACCAGAAGATTACGACCAACCAACCCCAAGATAGCCCCACTACCAGAAGATTACAACCAACTAACTTTAGGACTGCCCTACCCTCAGCAGATTCCGGCCAACCCCTGGATTCTGACCAAGCCTAGGCTGGCCCCACCATAAGTTTCCAATCAAGCCCTGGGCAGCCTCACTGCAAGGAGTGTCAGACTAAGCTCAGGATGACGAGTTCTGGACCAGCCTAGGGCGACTCCATGGGTTTTAGAGCAACCAGGGTGACCTTAGTGCCCACCAGAAGTTTCAGATAAACCCAGGGCGACTCCATCAGGGGTTTTAGTGCACCCAGGACGACCAGATGCTTAGGACAAACTTAGGGTGACCCCACCACCGGCCAGGCATTCTAGAACACAGGGCAACCCCACCATCCATCAGGGGTTTCAGAGCGCCCAGGGTGACCCCACAACCCCAGAGATTTTCTGAAGCATCTAAATCCAATGCCATCATAAAGATGAGTAACAAACTACACCCCTATATATATATATAAAACATCAAATTTTCTCCCATATTTACAAAGTTTGGTGTGGATAGGTTGGGTTTGTTTAGAGCATAGCAATGACAAAACTAAATTTTATTGCATCTTATGACCCTACTCACTAGCCCCGCAGAGGGGGTCACCCCGTGCCCCAACAAACCCCGCAGAGGGGGGTCACCCCGTGCCCCAACAAACCCCGCAGAGGGGGTCACCCCGTGCCCCAACAAACCCCGCAGAGGGGGTCACCCCGTGCCCCAACAAACCCCGCAGAGGGGGTCACCCCGTGCCCCAACAAACCCCGCAGAGGGGGTCACCCCGTGCCCCAACAAACCCCGCAGAGGGGGTCACCCCGTGCCCCAACAAACCCCGCAGAGGGGGTCACCCCGTGCCCCAACAAACCCCGCAGAGGGGGTTACCCCGTGCCCCAACTAACCCTGCAGAAGGTGGGGTTTGGAGTAATCATATTCAAACATTGACAAAGCTCACTTTCAAACTTGAAACTATGTATAATTAGGATACATAGGGTTAGGTAGGCCTAAGTTAGGGCTTCAAGTTTCTCCACTGGCAAAATACCCTAATACAGAGACCTGTATCCCACCAGGTCATCAACCTCCAAAAATACAGTTCAACAAAGGCCAACCTCCCCCCTCAAACCAGCCCAGCTGGGTCACCAAAGCCCCGTGGGCCAAGCCTCCAGTGAACCACACCAACAACTGCTCCATTACTAGAGGCCTCATGTTACCGTGCCAACCACTGGAGCTGCCACACCTGGAGCTGCCACAGCCACCCACTACCCTACACCACCACACTCCTCCACCACAAATAGCTTCAGCAACGTGGAGTACACAAAGAGAGGCCGAGCGGCCAGCTGACAGCCTCCAGTTTAAACCTCTACACACACACACTCCTGCCCATCCTCGCCTCTACCATGCCACTATCTACAAAACCACTTCTCCCACTACACTACCCTCTCTCCCTAGATCAAATGTCACTCAATTAATACTACTATTTGTATATTCGTACGTCCGGCAATCCAGCAAAAATTGCCTCAAGTTGCAGCAAAGGTAAAAATGTCGTACAAGTGCATAAACTCCAATATTGTCAAAGCTGCACATTTTTCCGTAAATTACAATGTGTTAACGAGAGTCTCGGCGCCCTATCACCGCCTTAATGCGAGCCCAAAGTCTCACATTTATTCAAAAAGTTGTCAAAAATTCACAATATGGCGCCGGCCAGGGTATTGTCATTGTGGTCATGGGAGTATTTTCCCCGAGAATATCGGGCTGGGGAGCACCAGCCGGGGATATCCTCCAGTCAACTCCCACCCACCACGGCTCTCAACTCCTGCGGCAAGCCACTACCACTTCAACACTCACGTAGGTGACGCCAGGGAGAAGAAAAGGGGTTGAGGAGAAGGTAAACTCACACGTGTGTTGCCGGGGCGAGGCAGCAGAGAGCGAGAGAGGGCGCGCGCACAGCACACCCGCCAACCACCAAATATGGCCGCCTCCCGCACCTGACGGTCGACATGCGTCAACTACTCATACACTTCAAAACACCAATATTTTCCCTCGTACCTACTCATTTACTACCCTCATATTCAACTCAAATATTCCTCACAAGGAAATATTTTGATTTTTTTCAATTAAGAAGCACCCCACCCCCAACCCCGAAGGGTTAACTAATGTATTGAGGTTTACTCAATAATTTGTAGGGAGAAAGTTAGTCTGTTGGATATGTTGCATGAACACTGCCAACATATGTTTCATGGCGTACAGCTTTTCTTTTAAACCTAATAAACATACTTGTGCTAGACCTGAGCAGATAAGGGTTCTTAAAAGGTTACAATAATATATTTGATTCCCCCGAGTGGTTATCGGCGATAGCAACAGCTACTGTGCATGTACACATCTCTTATCTATATAGTTGCTGTTATGGGCGAAATGAACCAAATACTGTACTGCATTATTATTAAATATCTCAAAATACATTTCTTGCTACTTTGTCACCCAAATTATTAGTCAGACTAGCGTACATGCCTTTAATGAGATTGCTAATAAAAGTTAATAATAACAGAGTTATTATTATTGTTGTGCTTAACATATCATATTGGGCATCATAATAATAATAATAATAATAATAATAATAATAATAATAATAATAATAATAATAATATTGAGCCTACTAGCTTGTGCTTAAAATGGAATCTGTTACTGTATTATCAAATCAGTTTTATGCCGATTCAATGTTATAAACAGTAAATAGGGTTACAAATAAATGCGAACTTTAGTTTTAGTTTAGTATAGAACTATGGTTTAGTTTTATGCTTCAATAATGAATCATGAGGCTAAACCATGAACTCTTACACGTCCGGGTTGAGATATTAGAATAAAAAAATTAACCAAAGAGAAACCACAACTAATAGTAGTAGTATACTACCACTACTATTATTAGTAGTAGTAGTTGATGATTGTAATATTAAGTAGTAATAGTTGTAGTATAACTAATGTCATTCCTTATCTGATTAGTTATCACTGTTTTTGTAGTCGTTATTATTATTATTTTATAGCTGCATTTTCTTTTGGTACAGAACACTACACGTGATGCAATGCGTGTGTGTGTGTGTACTCACCTAGTTGTACTCACCTAGTTGTGTTTGCGGGGGTTGAGCTGTGGCTCTTTGGTCCAGCCTCTCAACCGTCAATTAACTGATGTACAGGTTCCTGAGCCTACTTGGCTCTCATCATATCGACACTTAAAATTGTGTATGGAATCTGTCTCCACCTCATCACGTCCAAATGCATTCCATTTGTCAACTACTTTGACACTAAAAATGTTTGTTTTAATGTCACTATGGCTCATTTGGGCACTCAATTTCCATCTGTGTCCCCTAGTACGTGTGCCACTTGAGTTAAATAGTCTGTTTTTATCTACCCTATCAATTTCTTTGAGAATCTTGTATGTGGTGATAATGTCCCCTCTAACTCCTCTGACTTCCAGCGACATGAGGTTTGAATTCCGTAGTATCTCCTCGTAGCTCATATCCCTCAGTTCGAGTACTGGTCTGGTGGCAAACCACATTAAGGCAATTTACTGCATGTACGCTAGTCTGACTAATAATTTGTGTGACAAAGTAGCAAGAAATGTATTTTGAGATAATAATAATGCAGTACATTATTTGGTTCATTTCGCCCATAACAGCAACTATATAGACAAGAGATGTGTACATGCACTAATTTTTGTTTGTTTGTTTGACCAGGTTTTAATTTATGTTTGACCAGGTATGGACTTCATGCTGGAGCTGATACTCCAGGATTGGTCTGACATGTGTGGTAAACAAAGTTCTGAATGACTCCTTACACAAGTTTCTAAAGGATGTTCTTATGTTGGCCAACCTGGCATATGCCGCTGATGTTATCCTCTTGATATGGACTTCAGATAACAGGTCTGGCGTGATATCAACCCTCAGGACCCAGATTCACGAAGTAGTTACGAAAGTACTTACGAACCTATACAACTTTCCTCAATCTTTGACGGCTTTGGTTACATTTATTAAACAGTTTATACGCATGAAAACTTCCCAATCAACTGTTGTTATTGTTATAAACCGCCTCCTGGGGCTTCGGAGCTCATTAACTGTTTAATAATTGTAAACATAGCCGCCAAAGATTGAGAAAATATGTACAGGTTCATAAGTGCTTGCGTAACTGCTTCCTGAATCTGGCCCCAGGTCTTTCTCTCTGATTCTTGAAGGATTTCAAATTCAAATTCAAATGTTTATTCAGCTAAAAGTACATGCATAGAAGAAGAGTTACAAACATAATGTTGGATATATAGATAGAGCTAGTACATACGCTACCTATAGCCACTAATACTCACAGCGTTTCGGGCACAGAGTTTCGGATTTCATATCCCAAATTAAATCATCTGTATTCACCTAGTTGTGCTTGCGGGGGTTGAGCTCTGCTCTTTTGGCCCGCCTCTCAACTGTCAATCAATAAACTATTACTAACTACTAAGTTTTTTCCTTACACACACACTCCCAGGAAGCAGCCCGTAACAGGCTGTCTAACTCCCAGGAACCCATTCATTGCTAGGTAACAGGCGCATCAGGGTGAAGGAAACTGCCCATTTGTTTTTCGCCGGCGCCGGGGATCGAACCCCGGTCCCTAGGTCGGTCCACTACTCTAGAGCGCTGTCCACTCAGCCACCAGCCCCCCTGTATGTGTGTGTGTGTGTGTACTCACCTAATTGTACTCAACTAATTGTGCTTGCGGGGGTTGAGCTTTGGCTCTTTGGTCCCGCCTCTCAACTATCAATCAACTGGTGTACAGATTCCTGAGCCTACTGGGCTCTATCATATCTACATTTGAAACTGTGTATGGAGTCAGCCTCCACCACATCACTGCCTAATGCATTCCATCCATTAATTACTCTGACACTGAAAAAAAGTTCCTTCTAACGTCCCTGTAGCTCATGTGGGTACTCAGTTTCCACCTGTGTCCCCTTGTTCGCGTCAACCCGTACCACCAGTGTTGAATAGTTTATCCTTGTTTACCCGGTCGATTCCCTTGAGGATTTTGTAGATTGTGATCATGTCTCCCCTTACTCTTCTGTCTTCCAGTGCCGTAAGATGCATTTCCCGCAGCCTTTCCTCGTAACTCATGCCTCTTAGTTCTGGGACTAGTCTAGTGGCATACCTTTGAACTTTTTCCAGCTTCTTCTTGTGCTTGACAAGGTACGGGCTCCATGTTGGGGCCGCATACTCCAGGATTGGTCTTACATGTGTGGTGTACAAGATTCTGAATGATTCCTTACACAGGTTCCTGAACGCTGTTCTGATGTTAGCCAGCCTCGCATATGCCGCAGACGTTATTCTTTTTATGTGGGCTTCAGGAGACAGGTTTGGTGTGATATCAACTCCTAGATCTTTCTCTCTGTCCGTTTCATTAAGTACTTCATCTCCTATTCTGTATCCGTGTCTGGCCTCCTGTTTCCACTGCCTAGTTTCATTACTTTGCATTTGCTTGGGTTGAACTTCAACAGCCATTTGTTGTGTGTGTGTGTGTGTGCGTGCGTGTGTGTGTGTACTCACCTAGTTGTACTCACCTAGTTGTGCTTGCGGGGGTTGAGCTCTGGCTCTTTGGTCCCGCCTCTCAACCGTCAATCAACAGGTGTACAGGTTCCTGAGCCTATTGGGCTCTATCATATCTACACTTGAAACTGTGTATGGAGTCAACCTCCACCACATTGCTTCCTAATGCATTCCATTTGTCAACCACTCTGACACTAAAAAAGTTCTTCCTAATATCTCTGTGGCTCACTTGGGCACTCAGTTTCCACCTGTGTCCCCTAGTGCGTGTGCCCCTTGTGTTAAATAGCCTATCTTTATCAACCCTGTCGATTCCCTTGAGAATCTTGAATGTGGTGATCATGTCCCCCCCTAACTCTTCTGTCTTCCAACGAAGTGAGGTTCAATTCCCGTAGTCTCTCCTCCTGTGTGTGTGTGTGTGTGTGTGTGTGTGTGTGTGTGTGTGTGTGTGTGTGTGTGTGTGTGTGTGTGTGTGTGTGTGTATTTCACCATATGTTGACAATCTTACAATCTTTGTATCGTTTACCTATCTTTGTAAGAGAAAAAAGAGGTAACCGGTGTAGCTCGGGTGATTGATTACCTACCTTGCGGCTACCTTGCAGTGATTCCCGGAGTCAAGGTACCCGCGGTCCGGTCTGTGACCAGGCCTCCTGGTTGATGGACCGGTCAACCAGGCTATTGGACGCGGCTGTACGCAGCCTGACGTATGAATAACAGGCTGGTTGATCAGGTATCAGTACAATCTAGCATCATCACTGTAACCATATCCACTCTATATTGTTTTCATTATTGTAACCATCTTTACTACACAACCATCATCACTCTATATGGAAGCTGATCACAATTACATTTCTTTTTTTTTTTTTTTTTTTTTTTTTTTTTTTTTTTTTTTTTTTTTTTTTTTTTTTTTTTTTTTTTTTTTTTTTTTTTTTTTTTTTTTTTTTTTTTTTTTTTTTTTTTTTTTTTTTTTTTTTTTTTGAGATATATACAAGAGTTGTTACATTCTTGTACAGCCACTAGTACGCGTAGCGTTTCGGGCAAGTTCTTAATCCTATGGTCCCTGGAATACGATTCCCTGCCGCGAAGAATCGCTTTTTCATCCAAGTACACATTGTAAATGCACATTAATGACACTATGTAAATGACACATCGAACACTTTATGTAGGGCATACGTAAATCTGTGTATCTATGTATTTACGTATGTAGGTTAGCTTAGCATTTTAAAAGCACCGAATCACCTTCTGTGGTTGAGTGTTCAATAAACCCTTGAACTATATGTTTAACACATCTCTAACCCTGTCCATGGAGGACAGAAGAAAATGTATATATGCTGGTTAGCATTGTAAATGTGTGGCCACGTTTGTGGTAGAAAAAAAACACTATTTATCTATAGAGTTAGGCAAATACTCTCTGTCATA